TGACCGCATACCGCTAGGTTCCGTCCCAAACCCCAACCCAAAGCTTCCTTCTTACTTGCACTGCTCAACTCTTTTTCCCTTCACACACTTGCGCCTAACAAGCTTTCTCTGTCCAACAACACAAAACACTTGACCAAGGGGCCTCAGCGTCCGACCGGCCATGCATATCCGCTCGCACCTCCCACCTTCGACATCTCAATAGTAGACTACACCCTACATGTACACTTGGTGATGCTGTGCGAGACCCCGCTGGCTTTCGCAAGACGTGCCGGCATCCCGAAGCCCCTCCGAACCATCACTCAGCCTCCGTAACTGCGAATAGCTTATTACCAATCGATCCCGGCGCCCTATCTTATACCGGCACCCTTTTGAGGCTCTTTTGTTATTCTCACGAACCCAATCCCTATCCTGCGAGGCCTGGAGCCACCAACGAACTTATCCGATGTATTATCTACGCCGCTTCACCATCTTCCTCGCCTTCTTGGTGTCGGTATCGTTCCTCGCATGGTTCCTGCCCCGCTACCTCAACCCAAACCCGCCAGACCCGGCCAAGCAGCGCGAGGATAAGAAATGGGTCAGCAGCAGCCCGTACTGGCTCGATCGTCAGGCCTGCCGTTGGCTGAGTCTCTGCGGCGTTCATCATCTCTCATGGGACCCAGCTTCTCTCTTCCCCTACAAGAACGACTCCGACGCCGGTGATTTGCGCTTGGAGCTTAGGTCACTTGATGGACGCCATTCTGGGTGGGAGACGGCTCCCAAGAAGCGCTCGCCGCGGGACGACAAGGAAGAGAGGAGGAAGGTCTTGAAGGAGATTCCCGACTATGTTCTCAAGTATGCGCCGCTAGTCCACCTCTTTTCGGGCGAGAACTTCTGGCCCGCCGACATTGCGGAACACATTCGGCACATGACGCCCTACTTGGAAAAAGAGGCGTTGAACCGCTCCCTGATTCTGTCGGATTTGCACATGCTTAACAAGGAGGATGGCATGGTTTACCTCACCAGCGACGACGATGTCGAGCAGAGACCCGAATGGCTGCACAGTCACGTTGGCATTCCTGAGCCATGGAACGATGATGAGGACGACGGCGACAAGGAAGAGACGCCCAACAGCCCAGTTGGGGACTCTGAACACCCACGACATGAAACTGAGGATACGACGTGGTTCGACGTATCTCGCGATCACCCCGTTCACCGCATCTCGGATCCTCGTCGCTACCCACAATTCCCAGAAGGCTCCGCCCGCGCCGCCGGCTTCCAGCACCGCCGCCGAGACCAGGGCCAGAAGCCCATTCCCGACACGCCAACTCACAAGCCCGATCAGGAAGGCTACTCAAAGGCCCCGGCCGTCCTCGTCCTCGTCGACAAGGGCTCCGGCATCGTCGACGCCTTCTGGTTTTTCTTCTACTCGTACAACCTCGGTCAGACGGTCCTGACCATTCGCTTCGGCAACCACGTCGGCGACTGGGAGCACTGCATGATGCGCTTCGAGAACGGTGTGCCCCGTGGCATCTTCTTCTCGGAACACGAGGGCGGCCAGGCTTACACGTACAATGCCGTCGAGAAGCGGGGCGAGCGTCCCGTCATCTACTCCGCCGTCGGCTCCCATGCCATGTACGCGCAGGCCGGCGAGCACCCGTACGTGCTGCCTTTCAAGATGCTCAAGGACGTGACCGACAAGGGACCCCTTTGGGACCCGTCAAAGAACGCCTACACCTACTGGTACGACTACGTCCAGGATCTGGACGAGGACCTCGACGACGACCTCGATGACGAGGTCGACGTGGCTAGCGGCCACCGGAAGGAGAACCCCACCAGTCTGTTCCCCACGGCCGAGAACCCCGACGCGCCGACGTCATGGTTCCATTACGCCGGCCCTTGGGGCGATAAGCTCTACAGCTTGGCCGATATGCGCCAGTGGCGCTTGTTCGCGCAGTACCACTACGTCTCCGGGCCGTTGGGTCCCAAGTTCAAGCGGCTCGATCGCGAGAAGCTCTGCATTACTACCCGCTGCCGGATCTTGGATAGCTTAAAGCCCGGACAGACGTGGTATAGTTAGATGAGTTTCCTTTTTGTTACAGGTAATGGTATAGATGAAGCAAAGAACAATCAAACCTCAATGAAACATGTTATATTTAATTGATGCCTTGCATGCATCCATTGAGTGATGAGGCCGGCATACAAGATCACTTCACGTATCCAAGTAGAACGGGAGGAATGTACAAAAGTGTGACATCTGCTCTCTATTCCAGAGCGCTCAACAGCCCACAAACCGATTTCAAGTCTGGACATGGCAACTTGTAGTCGAAACAAGGTTGCCAGAAAGAGATTGCATGTTACTTGACCCCGGCAAGTACCTTCCTATATCCGACTCCCCGACCGCTCTTGGCGGGACAGTTCCGTGCTGCTCCGATCCAAATAGCACGACCAACCCGGCCTCATGCACGCCATCCAGTCTCTGTTACCTAGGTCCCTCAGACCTTGTCAAGTCTATCCTTCCCGTCACGAATATGCATCCCAGAAGGTCCTAGGTAAAGTAACATACATATCGGGCAGCAAGACTATAAGAGCCCCCGCGTGTCAGGTTGGCAGCCCGGCCTGCCGATAAATAGAACGAAGTTCTCCTCTTGTTCCGTGCCTTGAATGATTCTCGGCAGACGTATCGAAGATCCAACTGGATTCGTATTTCTTGCAAGTTCCAGACGATTCCTGTTATTCACAGCCAAAAAGTCGGTGTTCAGTGTTACCCTCAGATGCTGCGTAGTCCCGCCCTGGTAGCCGGCCACTCGCACGATGGTACGGCTACAAGCTTACATCTGTTTCTTTGGCGCTCTTCGCATGAGTCGCTCTGAATAGAAGCACTCGAATCGCTGGAGAGCAAGCTGGCCAAGGTAAGTCTGATGGGCTTAGCCAAGCCTAAATCAGGCTTCAAAGTCCAAGTGCGGTATCCGCCATCCAAAGAAGGTGCCTTGTCAGAGTCCAGGGCATCAAGACAGGGGAAACCACGATGATCAGACACCTCTTGAAATACCTGACAGATTGGCCAGAAAATACGAAAAAAAATGAGCTGCCTGTGGCATTATGTAGGACCACCAAATTCGAACTCGCAACCTTTGCAGGACCCAATTACACGTTAATATTTCCTTCACTAGGTCATAGACACATTCAGGCGGTTCTCATGCCCTCCCTCTGGCAAATTCTGTCCTACAGATGTATGGGTCGAATGGTCGTGGTGTATTCGTGGATGTTTATTCCATATCGCACGTGACCTATTCCGGTATGGACCAAGCACTGAAGGAATCTCATCAGTTCATCGTTCTTTCACTCAACTCTAGAGCCTGTAGAAAAGGTTCATTTGTGGACACCTTTCCTGGCTGAAGTCGTACTATCTTATCTTCAAGGGCCCAAGTCGACCCTGAAGATCGCTAGGTTTCCACAACACCACCTCAAGTCATAACCAGTCACCTCAACATCAGCGATGTGAAATCAATTCAAATCATGAAGTCACTATATAGTCAGCCTAGACGTACCGGTCGAAAAACTTTGAAGTCTGACGAGATTCCGCAGCCGTCTCAAGCTCAACCGAATGCGTCCAGACGCGGCTTTCCCTCCTATGAACCCCCTATTCATAATCACCTATGTGGTGGTTTTTTTCCCGGCTTTACAGGCGCAAAAGATCGACCTTAACGGAAGAAGGCTTTCAAGGGAAATCACACGATACGGTACACTTTTTAATTACACAAAACGCGCAATGTGCCCCAAGCGCGCGCTCAACGATAATTACCTGTATGCAACCTCGATTATTGAACAATTTTCCGTCAAGTAACATCATTCATGGAAGGGACTTTCAGCATTGATGGTCTTGGAATGTTGACTTGCAAGTTGCAAGTCCAAGCCATATCCTTTTGCCAAGACAGGCAATTTAGCCATGACTCGAGACGAAGTCTTCTCGGGTTCTTATATTTGGCGACACGCCGGCCTCGACTACACTCTTGTGAATTAGTATATTAGAGTTCCTCAGAGCCCAGATCCAGCTCTATCGGCATTGGTCTTGCATGTTCAGCCAAGAAGAAAGGCCCAGTGACTTTTAGATTACAGGATGTTGGTACAGGAGCAAAGACTCATTTAGACTATTCTGTAGATAAAGTAAGTACTCTTTTTCTTCCAGTTACAGGTCCGCTCATCTAAAATCTCATTTAAACATCGTAGCTTAGGCTACATAGAGTTAGCTCGTGGTTGTTGGAGTGATTCACAACCGCAGTGCCGGTATGTCTACTCACGAAGTGTGAGCTTTCTCTCACTTGCCCGATCCAAGACATATTTAAAGCCTCCTTCCCCACGATATGAGAGAGGTATACGGCGTAACACGGCGTAACCTCCAAGCCATCTCGAACACCCAGATACCTTAGATCCTCGAAATCGACATGAAGCTATCCGTCCTCGCCGGCATCGCCCTCTTCAGTAGTTCAGCTCTTGGCTTGATGAGATGGGAATGCAGACAGACACCGAACTCTGGTTGGGGCGTAAGTCACAACCTCGTCTTCTATATTCCTACGACCCTCATTCTCTCAGTCATTTGAAAGCAACTAGCATGATTCGGTCAAGACTAACTTCGGAACCTGATAGGCGTCCAACTGCTCTCCAGATGACCAACGTCAGTGCACCACTTCAGCGTGTAACAGCAACGTGAGTTCCATTACATGATGATCGCGCATGCTGTGAATGGATGCTTAATGATATGGACAGTGTCAGCGCGGCGCTCCTTGGAGCAACGCCCGCGGATATGCGTAAGTCTTAACATGTTCACTTTCGGCGGCCTCGACTCTTGCCGAGCCTTGTTTGTAGACATGCTGACGATACTTGCCTCACTGCAGGAACGTAGACCTTGGGAACGCCTGCGACTGCTACTGCTGGAATTGAGGCGAGGACATATGATTGCAAATGAATGTATTCATCATCAGAAGGTCATTAAAAAACAATACGAAAGAGTCCCGATCTCCATCTCACGCTTGCTTGACAGCCATGATATCAACATCCCGATGCCCAACTTGTACTTCCAAAGCAATATCTTCTCCCGATGAAAGTGTTCGTGACAATCTCAGTTGCCCATCAATAAACACATTCCATGTCCCAGGCCCCAAGTTCCTGAGAACAGGCTTGATTGTCCTCGTCGAGCCATCCCACGACCTGACAGTAAGCACCAGCATCCTCTCCTCCTCGCTCCAATCTCCACGCAAGAAGTCAACGCCATCAGCCAAAGTGACTGCATCAACAAACGGCCGCGTCGAGACGTCTTGCGCAGTCCAAGGCCGCTCCCAAATAATCTTCTGCCCGTCCTCGACATTCAACCTTGCGTACCCGATCGCCGCGTTGCCGGAAAACGGGTCCATGTGCGTCCACCTCATCTCCTCGTCAAACGGCTCGTCGTTGCGCGGGTAATACAGCCCGCCGCGCTCCCACTTGGACCCCAACTCTTCGTCCGCGTATTTGAGCAACGCCGTCAACTCGGCTTCCTTGCCTAGCTCAGAGAGCCACTGGACGATATACCCAAACGTGGGCTTGGTATACGGAAAGCCTCCCTTCTTACCCGCCTCGGCCTCCTTGGCGTTGCGCACCGCCTGTTCGAGCGTCTCGCGAGAGTCCGGCGCCGCGCCGTCTTCCTTGACTAGCTTTCTGAACTCGTTGCCGACGACAGGTGGGTTCAGACGAATCTCGCCTCCTCCCGTGTTGGTGACGTACCCGAGGGCCTGGTCTTCGTAGTGAGACCTCACGACGGACCCGTTCCACGAGTTCATAAAGGCCGAGCCCCACGCCGTCCATGCGGGATCTTTGGGGCGGATAGTGAAGTCCTGCTTGACCATCCACGCGTCAGGCAGGAGGCCATCGGAGCCGACGAGCCCTTTCTTGTCCCATGCTGCTTTGTACTTTTCCAAAACGTCGTCTACGACCGAAGTGCCCAGACGAGCGTCTCTCAGACGCATTCCGATCAGCTTGCACAACTCGTCAGCGCACAACTCTCAGTTGTCAGTAGGCACATGTTGGTACTTACAGGAAACTGGTTGCAAACCACAAATACCATATTCGGCTCACAGCATACCCCAATCCACCCGTTCCCCTCCATCTCCTTGAGGATAGCATCCTGCAAGCTTCCCGCATCATACGAGAACTTCTCCGGACCCATCCCAAAAAACAACGGATTCCACAAAAACTCCAACGAACCCGGCCTCTCAAACTCATCATCGTCAAACAACATCCCATACATCGCCACCATCATCAGCAAATGCCCGCTGTACATGATATTCTCCCTCACAACGGGGTCAGCCCACGGCTTCCTCAGCTCCTTCAGGTCCGGATTGGTCGCGATCCCGGCCATGCTCGTGTTGAACCAGTACGCCCACACGGCGCGCAGGAGCATCTTGCGGATCGTCTGGCGCATGAGCGTCTTGTAGACGCTGCGGAGGGCCGGTTGGCGGTGGAAGTGCGCGGCGCCGGCGGCGTAGGCCATGGTCGCGAGCTGGTAGCGGTAGGCGTCGAGGAATTCCTGGAGGGGCTCCTGCGAGCCCATGAGGTTCCAGTCGTTGTCGGGCTGGGTGACGAGGTTGTGGAAGTGGCGGAGGTGGCCTGCTTGTTCTCGTGTTAGTTTAGGGTGTTTGGATAGGTCTGGTGCTCGTGGCTGCTCCTGAGTTTCGGTCGTCATTGTGATGGTGGTGGTTGAAGACATGGCTACGATTCGATTCGGTCTGCGGTTGTGAGAACAACGGAAATGACTAATGTTGGTTTCTACAGAGGCGCGAAACCGCTACATTTGACCAATAAATCACTTCTGTAAGAATGCTGCGAACATCATAAATAAGTCCCAAAAGTTTCACGGGGTTCGGAATTGAAACGGGGCTACCCGCCGCATGATCGGCCGTAACAAGCCGGACTGCACCGGACCGTAGACCCCGATCAACTGATGTCAGACGAGGACCACCTTACGACGAACTAGAAGGAGTCGAAGGAATACAATCAAGTCTCCATCGGCACTACTCGGCAGGGGTGTTGCATTGCCCGAGCGCCCGAGAGACTCGATGTTTTCCTTCCTGTTGGAGAAGAAGTTGCCGCAGGCGCGGAGTTTAGTCGTAGTCGAGCGGGGATACGTCTCCTGTCAGCATCCTTCTTGCGACTCCCCCGCGTTGGCTGGTTTTCTGTCTTACTAGAAGGATCATTGTTGCCTAAAGAGGGCAATCGTAGTTGTAACGACCAATGGAAGACAGCTACGGATATTTGAGCTGTCAGTTATAGGAACCCCTCCACAATACCTCAGTAGGGTGGCTTTCACTCGATAGTAATCGTGGTCACGCTTCTCGGTGAGGAGGTTTATGTGTAATGTGTGCATTATCGAATTCAAGAAACCTCACTTGGACGTCTTGTCAATGTGATCGAGAAAGGACGCCTGGATTTTTGTCTGCAGGTGAACGGACTTTTAGGGCAAGAGGAAGAACATCTTCTTTATTGCTTCATGATACCATAGCAAACATATATTACCAGCCATGGGCTTTTCAGAACCTCACATGCTTATCTTCAAAGATCAAAAGAACTTGCTTGAAATGCGTTGGAACAATGCAACTCCTCAAGTGAACCTATTGGCAAACCATGAAACACACAAATCCTCACCCCGTACCCAAACTCCAAATGCAGTCCCAGACTCCGTCCAAAGCCTTTTTACCCAGTCCGTCATTGATCTTCGGTATCCATCATTGCAAACTCCCAGGCAATTCAAGCCGTAGCTCTGCAATACACCCTCACCACCAAACACGACCTCCTCACTCAAACTTGCCCGACCCAAAGAGGCCATTAACAGCGTGGTGTCTCCTCTCAGCACCCTTCCACTTTCTCGCCTCCCTCCTCTTCTCATTCTCCTGGATCGCCGCTCGGCGCTCATTCTCTCTCGCCAAAGCACTAACACCCGACTTCTTGCTCGCGTTCTTCTTGATTTTGCCATCGTCGCCGAAACCACCGCCACCGCCGCCACGAGCAGAGAAAGCCGCAGCTCCCCCATTGCTGGCTCCGCTGCCGCCAATACCACCACCGATACTGCCGCCACCGGAACCCTGTGAACTCAGCACGGACGAGTTCGTCGTCGCGCGCCGGAGCAGTGCAGGGACCCTGAAGCTGCTGCCGCCGCCGCTGGAAGCAGAGGCGGCGGCGTTGGGCATAGCAAAGGCGAGCTTAGAGGACGTGGTCGACATGTTGGAGGATGACTGCCGCTTCATGGTGAGGCGATCGACGACCACCTGGCGCGAGTTGGTGCGGCGCGGGTTCTTGCCTGGGGAGCGGTTCTCCTTGTTAGAGGGTTGCGCCTCCTCGTCATCCGCCTCGCTGTCCGAGTGCGGGTCCGTGGCAGGAATCACTTCGTTCAGGTCCTCGAGCAGACTCGAGACGGACTCGCGAATCTCGCCCAGGTTGGAGGGCCTCTTGCCGTCCTTTGTCCTCCGCGCGTTGGTGGTGGACGGTACGTTGGCAGCGTTGGAGGCGAGAGGTGCGCGTTGCGCTCCGGGCTGACTGTCTGGGACAGTGGTCTGCTGCTGCTGTTGCTCTTGAGACTGCGAGTCCTCCGTCTCCGTTGGCTCGGGCGCGAAGTCGAGGAAGTCCATCTCCTCATCACTGCCGCGGTCCTCAATGGTGCGGAGGAAGGCCTGGTTGCCGGGTTTCTCGGCAATTTTCTTGATGCGCTCATCCGCGAAGAGGGCCTGCTGCATTTTCTGGAACTGACGACGCTTCAAACGCCGACGAGCCTCGCCGCCGTCGTCTGAGTCAGAGAGGTCATAGTCGGCGCCGCGCTTGCGGCGGAGCATACCGGTTGTGATGTCATGGAAGAGCTTGTCGACCATCTTCTCATCGCTCTGACGCTCGTTGTCCCTGAGAATTTTGTTAGCTGAGAATACTAAAGCCAAGACAGAGATCACTTACGCGTGAAGGGCAGCAAGTTTGCGCTCATCATCAGCAGTCATGCCGTTCTCGTCGTCAATCATCTCCTTGACGGAGGCAGCATCACTGTCGTCATCGGTGTCCTCGCCATCCGCACCTCCAAGTCCTGCATACTCATCCTCGGACTCGTCGGCCTGCTCCTCCACCATCTCCTTGGCCTTGCTCTTCTTGCGGTTGTACTCCTCCGCCTTCTTGAGCTGCTTCTGCTTCTTGACAGCCTCCTTCATGACGTTGAAGGCCGTCGTTTTGAAACCGAATTCGTCTACCTCGGGACTGGCCCTGGAGTCCTCGACATCTTCGTCATCCGCGACAGCGGCTACGACGTCAATCTTGCGGCGCAGTTTACCCCTGCGGACGAGGGGCGAATCTTGCACTGAATCGACCTCGGCGTCCCTGTCCAGGACCATGGTATCCACGGTCGACGGGGGCGGCTCGACGAAGCGCTGCTTCAACGGCGTGTAGTCCTGCGGCCCGGCATCCTGAGTGGCATCCATAGAAGTTTGAGTGAACGGGTCGTCGTCGCGCAAGAGGCTGTCAAATCCACGCGCTTGGGATTGGGTGAAATGCAGGCGCACGCCCTCTGCGGAATCAGGCTGCGTGTCGGCTCTCTGGGTATCACCGCCCTGGCTGTCAAGAATCATGCTGTCGTGTTGTTGAGTAAGACCCATCAAGTTGGAGTCGGGAAGGCTGTCGAAATCCGGCATAGGTGACTGAGAGGGGATCGTACCAGGAGCTGCCTGGCTGTCGTCCATTGTACCAGCGAAGATCTGGGTCAGACCCAGACCAGCGGCACCCGTAACGGGCAGTCCGGGAATGAATGTCTTCTTGGCAGAGCGCAATACCGAGGTGGGAACGGCGGGTGATTTGGTGTTGGGTGCAGCAGGGGATTGTTGGGTTGCAGTCCTGGGTCTTGGCGTCGCTTCGATTCTGTCCTCGTCTTCATCATCCGAGATGACTTGGCTCTTCTTTGATCGACGGATGTTGCGCGTGGGAAGACCCATGTCGTCCTCGGACTCGGGATCATTCTCGACTTCTTGGGCCTCAACCTCGGCCTCAGGGTGTTCTGAGCCGCTGTCGTCAGCTTCATTGTCGAACAACGCAACACCTTCCATTTCCACCTCGGAACCATCATCTTCATCTTCATCGACATTCTCGTCTTCAGAGCCAGACAGCTCAAGCTCGACCTCAACGCCTCCCTCCGCCTCCTCCTCGGAACCGTCGTACGACTCATCGTCACTGTCGTCCCAGACGTCGAGCTCGCCATTCTTCCTCTTCTCCTTCTTCTCCTGCTTGGCAGCTGCTCTCTCGCGCTCCATAATCTCTTCGGCTTCCCTCCTAGCGCGAGAGACAATATCCTCAACCTCTTGCATCTCGCGTTCACGCTCCTCGGCGGTCTGCACGACGATACCCTTCGACTTGAGGTACTCGAGACGCTTTTCGCGCTCGATCTTGGCTTGTTGACGGGCGCGCTGCTGTAGCGTCATCTGCAATTGAGCCGTGGTGATTGTTGCCTTTTCGTATTTCCTCTTCCTCTCCTTTGTCGGCGATCCCACCCGAGCGAGGCGACGCAGATTAAGTAGAGACCGAGATGCATCTGCCTTGTTTCCCGGAGCCCTATTAAAGATGGCGTCAAATTTGCCGTTCTTGGCGATGGCCAACTCGTCGTCGTCGTCAAGGTCAATGACTGCATGGTTTACTGAGACTGAGGGCAGCTTGATGCGGACTTGACGTCTGGGTTTGACATCCTTGACGATAGTCTCTTCAGGAGTTGCAACGGCCTTGCCCTTGCCCTTGTCAAGTCTTCTCGATGCCTCAAACACGTCGTCGAGGGAAAGCATGTCACCATCGTCATCTCGGTCAATGGTGGGCTGCGCGACAGTCGTGGGCTCTTGAACCTTGGCAGGGGAGGCAGCCTTGGCGACAGGCGGGGAGCTGGGCGGCGTCTCGGGGTCCTTCATCTCAGCGTCGGTCTGGTGCGCTGAGACGGGTGTGGTAGGGCGGCTGGAGCTCGACAACTTGGGATCAGACTTGGGTTGAGCACCGAAGTTGAAGCGCTGGAGGAAATCCGCCTTTGTGAATTTCTTCCTCGTCTTGGCCTCGTGGGCAAGCTGCATGTTACGAGCCATGCGCTGGGTCTCGCGAGCCATCTCCTCGACGGCCTTCTTCCCGGCCTTCCTTGTAGGCCTAACGGCCTGGCTGAGCTTCCGGCCACCCTCGTCATCGGTGATGTCAGAGACGTTGCCGACGTCCTCATCGTCGTCAAACAGGTCGACGTTGCTGAGGGGCTCGCGTTCCATTCGCTCGGCGCGCTTTCTCTCCTCCTCAGCTTCGCGTGCGAGTCTCTCTTGTTTCTTGCGCTCGACGAGTGCCTGGAATCTGGCGTTCTTTGTGATTGCGGGGAGGGAGTCAGAGTCGGAGGCGTCGTCTGCTGTTGTCGTGGTAGTAGGTTTCACAGGTGACTGCCGGTCCGGAGAAACGAACAGCCCAGGACTCGACCGTGCGGCTGGGCTCTGTGGTGGTGGCGGCGTGGTCTGTCTATCCTGCTTCCTTTGCAGCCGCCGCGGTGCTACCGGGATATCGTCTTCCTCTTCCGCATCCCCCATGGTCGCGTCCTCGTCCTCTTCGTCATCGTCGTTGTTGGAGCCAAGCCGTCTTTGGATCCGGTCCATAAAGCTCTCGGGCTCGTCCTCTGCGTCTGAAGGCTCGGCGCCGCCCTTTAGCTGGGCA